GGAGCCTCGGGATTTGCTTTGTGACTCGGTGCCATTCACTGTACAACCTGGTGCAAAGAACTCATCCACACAGCATCTATAACAGAGGAAGAATAAGTGGCCTGTCCACTTCATTTGGTTTTTGTGAAAACTAAGGGCAAATGCTGGCAAAGGTACTTTACTAAAACGCATGTTGTGCAAATGTTCTTTCCTCTAGGCAAATAGCTATCATTCCTAATTTTATGACCCTGTCCTGCTGTGACCCCGGATTCCGGAAGTGCTGGACCTGCCAACCTGAGGCAGCTGTGGCCTGTTGCCAAGGCTGCCAGGAGAGGTTGTGAATCCCCACACAGGGCCAAGAACTACCAACACTAATGTGAAGTCCAGAAATCAGGACAATACTGGCTCTTGTCAATTGATTCAAAGAACAAATAGGTGTGTCACCAGCACACGTTACTTCACAATGGTGTGTTCTGTGGCGAGCACCTTTGTTAATCTCTGGTAGCTTTGTGGGGCCACAAGTGTGAAAAAGACTCAATCAAGCTGACCAGAATTCAAGGCCTCCTCTGCAGTGACGTGGCTAAAGTCATGGCCTGTCCACAATCCCCCTCCATCCACTCCTGGGCTGCCATTGCTCCCGCCCTCACTTCCTAGTAGCAGCCAGAGCCTGCGTGAGGAGGCGGCCTAGGCTGTATGGTCCTGGCTTGTCCCCACTTTTTGTGCCCCTTGTCGTGCTCCAAGGGTCCCTGCCGTCCCACACAGGCTTCCCTTCAGGAGAGTTAGCTGCAGTAAGTCCTGCCCTGCACTAGCCAAGTATTGGGAAACCCAAGGTATCAGAGGCTGCTCCTCCCAAGGCCAGCCTCTTTTTCTTGGCAGCCACACGTCTTTACAGTAGCAATAAAACTACGCGGCCAAAGAGACCAACTGATGTATGGAGGGCTCTGAAGCACAGCTGGTGATCTTCCCAGACAGACGCTGCTGAAGACTTGGGGAAATGGGAGAAGTGCTTTCACCCCAGTGGTCAGCATGCACATTCCTGGGCTCAAACAGGCTTTGTGGTCTGGGGTGCAGTGGGCGACCTCATGCAGATTCCCCACCGCACCGGCCTCTCTGCTCTGACTCCGCAGCCCAGCTGGTCTCCTCTGACACACCCGGAGACCAGGACCCTTTCCTCCTCCAGTCCTGGCCACACGCTGCCCACTTTGTTCTGTGCACATTACCTCGAACATGGTAGAGGCGAGTACCTTCCCCTCCTTCCCCTTGCCCTCAGAGTTCTCTCTGAGATGTCTCTTTCCTTTGCTCTCCCAACTTGGAAAGAAAGCCTTCCTCCTTCTCCACCCCTTGGTCTCTGTGCCCAGCGTCACCCCTACCCCAGCAATCCTCCCTTCCCTCTGCTGCCCGGCACGGCGGGCAGGAGTCTCTGGGGCCTCTGCTTCCCCTGCTGCGGAGCTGGATGGCCGGGGCAGTGCCCTGTCCCACCTGAAACAACTGAGTGAGCAGGCAGGCCACCTTACCTGAGCCTCAGTTTCCCCGCCTGTAAATAAAGAGAATGACAGTGCCTATTCACGGCTGTGATGATTTAATCACTGTAGGTGTGTTAGTGCAATGATGCACATTGTATGGGCTCAAGAATTGTTAACTCTGGCTGTGAGTGTCCTTATAGCTCTCTGCTCCTTCCTAATCTCTTTTATTTTATTTTTTTACTATTTTCTCATGGATGTCCACCCTCTGCTTTTTTTGCAGCTCGCCTTGACATTGGTACCTGATGTCATGACTGCGCCTGTCACTTCTATGTCTGACATGCCAGCTGCGGTCCCACGGGCACCTCACACGGGAGCCAAGCCAAACCCATCACGCCCTCCCTCAAGCCTGCCTGCAGCCAGTTCCCAAGCAGCGGCGATAAGCACGTATTGATCACCTCCTCCATGCCAAGCACTGTCTCACACACGTCATTTGCCATTTAATTCCCAATGCGGGAGGTTCCACTCAATAGTCACCCAACTTTGAAATCCGGGCCATTTTTGACAATTCCTTCTCTCCTGCATGGCCTGCTGGTTCTACATCATCGATGCCTGCTGCCCCGCACCTGAGCCCATCCTCAGCTAAGAAAGCCACACCTGTCCACAACTCACCCACATTTTCCCCTCCCTGCACTGCACATCTGCACTAACCAAGGTGCCCACGACCCGCCTCGTGCCTGCCTTTGCTGCCACCGACTCTTTTCCTACCTGTGCCTCAGGCTGAAACGCCTCTCCATGTCCATACCCCATCTCTAAATCCCAGCCAGTATTCAAAGACCCGGTCAACAGCCACTTCCTCTCCGGAGCCTCCTGATCCACAGCGCCAGGCTCCAAGGTTCTAGACTCGAGCCTTCGACGGGCCCTGCTCATTCTGTACATCTGACTTTCCACCAGACTGTGCGCTCACAAAGGGGCAGTGGCCTGAGGGCTCTGATGTACCTGCTGTGTTTGGCTCAGAGCAGTGATCTGGAAATGCTTGTGAATGAAGGAGTCAGAGTGAACTCAAACAGGCGTGGTGGTGTGTCCCGTGCCTCCTGCTGGACCCAGGGAAGTCACCAGGATGGTCCGCACAGAGTTAATGCCCAGGCCTCCTCCAACCCCCCAAACTCTGCCCTCTGGTGATATGGAGAGCTTTCTGGTCTGCATATTGATTAGGCTCTTACTGAAAACACAGACCAGATGGGGGAGGGGTGAGTGCTGTTGACCACGGCCTCCAGGCTCATGCCTGTGCAAAGGGTAATGATGACTCTAAAAGGGAGGGACCCTTTACAGGTGCCTGCTGTCAAGGCCACGTCCGACTGAACTCAGGCCAGCTCTTCCTTGTTTGCCAAGTGGCAGAGGCCCAGGAGGAAGAGTTTAGGAGGGTACTGCTGTTCTGGACGCAATGGCAGGCGGGGCCAATGGAAACTCTCTCTGACCTCCAGCAACTCTAATGTAAGCTGGCAAAGCCCTTCTGTGTACCAGTTTCACATGGACCACGGAACTTAAAAAGGACCATAGCCTTTGACCTTCTCAGGAATCAAAGAGCCCCCACATTTAGGGAAGTAATCCTAAATAAAGGCAATTCTTCGTGGAAAAGTTTGCTGATGACATCACTATTGTTAGAAGAGGAAAAACTGTAAACAACCTAAATGTTCGTCACTAGAATGGCCGTTAAGCAATGTTTACTAAATCGTAGCTAGCAGATTTTTTCAGTGTGTTAGGATCTTTGTGTATAACATTATCTCATTCCATCCCAGGTGCAAAATAGCTGCTTTTATGCCTGCTTTGCAAATGAGTAACCTGAGGCTTGGCCATGTTAGGTGAGGCGTCCAAAGTTTCTTGACACGGTAGAGGATTAGAGGCAGGTAGTCTAAATCCCAAAAACTAAATTATGACCACAGCATCATTCTTCTCAGTGTGTGTGTGTGTGTGTGTGTGTGTGTGTGTGTGCATATCTATTTGAAGGAATATTGCACATCCTTTAAAAATATTATTCCTCTATTTCAAAATAATTTATATGCTATTTTAATAACAAAAGTATCTGTTATAATGTTGAGCTAAAAACAGAATGTGAAACTATCTAGACAATATGAGTATGATCTCCTAAGATACTTAATCTAGGTATATAGAAAAGGAAAAGGAAATGTGCATTAACAGTTATTGTAATCCAGCTGGTGTGGCTCAGTGGTTGAGCGTCAGCCTGTGAACCAGGAGGTCACGGTTCAGTTTCTGGTCAGGGCACATGCCTGGGCTGCAGCTCTGTCCCCAGGAGGGGGTGTGCAGGAGGCAGCCAATCAATGATTCTCTCTCATCATTGATGTTTCTATTTCTCTCTCTCTTTCTCTCTCCCTCTCCCTTCCTCTCTGAAATCAATTAAAATATAATTTAGAAAAATAACCCAGGGATGGCATCTGGGAGGATGGGCCTCTTCTCCCTCTATAGTCCACGGTCTGCATTTGCAGCCTCTGGTCACCACCAATGGGCACTCAGGCCTCAGTTGAACCATTGGTTTTATATTTGCAAATCCGCCAAGCAGATGACCTGAGCTGCACTTGGCTTTGGCACATGGGCGTAGTCTCCCATGGCTCAGTGTCACCACCCAGGAAGTGCACAGGCAATTCAGGGGTAATGCCACAAGCCATGAGCAATCCCCTGTTCAAGGCTGCTGGAAACGCCCATCTCAGCCCAGCCACCACGCAGAGTGGGCCTGACCCAGAGCAGCAACCACAACCTGCAGCCAGCAACCGCCTGCACTGTGCTTGGGGCTGTGCGGGGTCAAGTTGTGTTTGGCTTTGTTTTTAATTGAATTATCTAATAACTTTCAGTTGGAAGACCCCAGATAAATCTAGCTTTCTGCTTTCTCTTAAAAACCAAAAGATCCTGGGCCCGTGGCAACGGTCCGCAGGAGCAGGATCTAGCCACCCCTCGGATAGGAAGTGGAGCCACCACTCCCTACAGCCTCCACGTGTGCAATCTGATGCACGTGCTTCAGCTGCTGCCTTTCTGACAGCAGAGTGGAGTGCAGAGGGCCTGTCCAGGTGCAAGACCCCCGGCCGTGCTCCCAGGTATGTGGGCAGGCATGGCTTGGAGACCTATGCCCATGCCTGGCTTACTGCTCTGCTGTTACCCTTTTCCAATTCTTAATGATTTTGAGCAAGGATCCCACAGTTTCCTTTTTCACCTGGCGCTGCAAATTGCCTAGCTGGTCCTCACTCAGAGAGTAGGCGTGTGTCTGAATTAGTGCCTTGCCCTCTGGGAGCCTCGGTTTTCTCCTCTGTAAATGGAAAGGGTAACAGCACCTGCCTCAAAGACAGACGAATTAAGAGAACACAAGCAGAGCTCTCCGCAGTGCCCAGCATGTGGTAAATACGTAACCACAGGAGTTTCTACTCTAGGCAAAGGAATAATAATTACGGATGATGACATGACCAGGTAGACGCCCCACTCAGTAGAAAGGGTGTTATCCCCGCACCCCAAATCAGGCACATGAGGCCCCTCCCAGACACCCGGGCCTCTTACTTTCCCGAAACGGCTGTGTTTGCATCTGCAAGCGGATCTTGATGAGGTCCACGGGTGTGCCCAGTCCGACAGACACCACGCCGGCCACCATGCTGGCCAGGATCAGGTCTGACAGGTTGCGGGGAGGGCCGGCCTCTGGCTCCCTGCTGTGGTGCTGGCTGAGGAACCTCTGCGTGTTACTGAAGACCCCGAACACCACCGAGTTGTACACGGCGATGCTGGCCAGGGGGAAGGACATGCCCTTGAAGAAGCCGAACACCTGTGGGGAGAGGAAGCGTGAGAACCGCAGCGGGGTGCCAAGCTCCCCAGTGTCCCGGGCACAGACCTGCCCTCCCGCACGCAGCCTGCAGGCTGGTGGGGAGACAGAAAGCCAGGTGCCAGTGAAGAGGACACAGGCGGATGCTGATGTGAAAGGAGATGGGCGGTGAGGACATTCCTGCCCTGAGGAGAAACGGGCTTCTGCGTGAAGTCTTGTTGACAGAGGGTGTGTCCTGGGCCTGTACCCAGTATTTGCCCCTGGATGCTGAGGTGACAGGAAGGAAGTGGCAGTCGTCTTGGGCTGTGTCCGAGGGGGTCTGTGGAGCACTAATGGGTAAGTGGGCTTGCCAAGCATCACACACACCCTCCTCATCTGCCACTCCCACAAAAAACATTCTCCGGGCACTTGCCACGCGCGTGCCAGGCCCTGGGGCCAACAATAAGAAGGAAAGCTTCACTGAATTCAGGGGGCGGAGTGGGGAGGGGTGAATCTGGATGGACAAATTAAACCATAATGTGCAAAGCTGTGGGGAGGGGCTAAGAAGAGGTCCCACAGCCCCCAGGGACACCGGGCCAGCCTGCATTGGGGTGCCCCTGAGCAGGGGTGTCTCAGAAGAGCAGCTCAAGGAGAGAGCCCCAGGAAAACCCATAGGCAGGATACTGGGGCTGCGGAGAGGTACTTCAGACTGTGAACTCGGAGAACAGCATGGCTGCTCCTCGGACACCGGAAATCCTACGGCCTGAGAGGAGTCAGGCCGCATCCGAGCCCCACCCCACACCCAAAGCGAAAATCCTGGCAGCCGTTGCACAAACCCGAGCCACAGGCAGACCAGCTAATCCCAAACGCGTGCCTGCACCCTATGTGCCAGAGATAAGACACCCCACACATGCATGTTTGTTCACATGTGCAACACACACACACACACACACACACACACACACACCTGCTTCCCCTCTTCCTCAGGTCCCCTCGGGCATTGCTGAGCCCCGAGCTGCTGTGTCTCAGAGGAACAGCCATGTCCCCACAGAAACCCTGGAGCGGACACCGCTGGCAGACACGTGGGAGACGTGTGCCAACTGGGAGAATCAACAACCGCTTCCCGGGATTGCGCATTGCCCTGGAACAGCTAGTACCAGGCTGGTAGGACCCATCCAGTTCTAGAGCAGCCGATCAGGGAGATAGAACACCCTGACACAGAAATCTGGCCTAGTGGGTAGGTGGGCCTCCGCCCGCACCTGGCGCCTCTCCTCAGACCAAGCGTGTCTGAGGAAAGGCTCCAGGAGCGGGCGGAGGCCCCCCAGCTCCAGGGCACGTCCCATGTGGACACTGGTCAACCACGGGGCCACGTTTCTGGTGACTCCAAGACAAGCCCGGGACTTGACCTCTGGGGTTAATACCTGGCCGTTGCTTTAAATCAACAGGTCATGTCACCCTAAATTTTAAAGTTTATTTTAAATTCCCCCAAAGAGGCCTTTGATACCCTCCCTAACGCATCCAATAATTCTCAAAAAGGGCACCTGACGCATCTTCTGTAAAACATTATTCAAGCTTTCCCCTTTGCAAAGACAGGGAGAAAGGCCTCGAGCTGCGGTTCACGCCAGTGGCTGGCGTGTGATGGCGGGACACCGGCTCCGGCTGGAGGAAAGGAAGCCTGTGAGCACATGGTACCAGCAACTCACTCGGTTTCGAAAACCTGACAAGTCACCCTGTTTCTTGCAGGAATTTTCCACACCGGGGTGAATTTCTCCAAGGCGGCCACACAAAACCAGGTTTTGTCTCCCACAGCCTCACACCAGGTGGCAGGGTTGGGTGGGGTGAGCTGATCTGGGAAAACTGAGCGAACTGTGATGAGTGGGAACAGACGGGCTTCCTCCGCCCAACGTGAAGTCCTGTTGACAGAGCGTGTGTCGGGCCTGGGTGGGCTTCACCCCATTCCGAGGGAGGCACCGCCTGCCCAAGGGGCACTTACGCTCTCCTTCTTGTACACCATGCGGATGCAGCTGAAGGTGTTCCCATAGCCCACGCCGGCCTGCAGGCGAGTCTGCAGAGAGAGGCAAGGGGGTGAGGCCAGGGAGAGATGCTGAGCGTCCAGCACTGGGGCCCCCGGCAGGAAGGCCCTGCCCACCGTGACCCTGGCAGGAGGGAGGTCTGGGCTTGGTCCTGGACAGGCTGGCCCCCTCCTCCTCTGGGTGTCCCATGCAGACCTTCTCCTGGTCCAGGGGAAGAACAAAGGTCAGTTTATTGAGCAAACACGATGCTCGTTGGGGGACACCTGACCCCTACCTCGGATACAAAAAGCTAACTGGTGCTGCGGTTCTGTCACTCTGCCCTCCCAATATACCCGGGGAGTGACCAGCTCTTCTCACCTCCAGAGCCCTTCCTCTCTCCCCAGAGTGATGCCTGGTCCCGCCATGGCCCCTGCTTCCCCACCCCCCTCCTGACACAGTCAGACTGATCTCTGACGGTCTCATGGATTGTATCACTGCTGCTATGGCTGTCCAGGGGCCTCCTGTCAACTTAGAATGGGTTCCATGTGGTTAGCCAGCACCCAGCAAGCCTGGGTGAGCGCTCAAACCTGCCTCGCATCCCACCCTGCTATTGCCTCCATCCCTTGCCTCCGTCCCTCTGTGTACATCACTTCCCTGGAGCATCGGTTCTTTCCGCCTCCAGAACTTTCCACCTCTGTTCTTCCCCGAAAGGCTCTTTCTCCAGCAGCTGCTCCTCTTTTTGGTCTGAGCTTCAATGTTGCCATGGTGTCATCTGTTTGCCTGTTCACTTAGGGTTTTGTTTGCATGCCCCTCTGGGGCAGGGCCACTCCTACTGCCCTCTTGACCTGGAGCCAAGTGGGCCCTCGCTCCGGGCCCCTGGGCACTGTGGAAGGCCTGGTGTCCTTGAATGGGGCTGGTCGTGATGCCAGGGGCTTCATGAGGGCACAGAGGGTCCAAATAAGCTCATGAAAGTGCCCAGGGTGCCCCCTCTCCTAGTCTCAGAGGGTTCTACTTCTTTTAAGAGGTGTGACCTATAATTCCCCATTACAATACTTCCTGCCCTGGCCGGTTTTGCTCAGTAGTTAGAACATCAGCCCTCAGACTGAAGGGTCTCAGGTTCAATTGCTGGTCAAGGGCATGTACCTCGGTTGCAGGTTCCCTTGCCCTGGTACACACTGCATCAGCATAAACAGTAAATGTACCCGCTGTGCCAGGAGCCATCCTGACCTCAGCCCCACTGTTCTCAAACAGCGGTGACAAGGAAGCTGCAGGCGGGGCAAGGAGACTTTGACCAACTCAGCACCCAGGTAAGTCTCCTAGCTTGGCTCTCCCGTGGGCCAGCCTACGGCCCACTCACTGCTCTACCCTCTGTGCTTTCTGCCCATTTCACAGATGAGGACACCAAAGCTCAGGGAGGTTACGTGCTGTGCCCTGGTCCCAGGAGAGGAGGTGGGGAGGCTGGACTGCACTCAGGCTATTCTGACTCTGAAGCTCTGCCCAGACCTTTGTCAGTGGAAGGGAATCTAGAGAAAATGTCAGCCAGAGAAAAGGAGGAGCATGTTCTGGGGTGAAATGGCCCTGCGACACCCCCTCTCCCCCCGGACTGGACCCAGACGCTGGCCAGTAAGCTGGCATCACCAGGTGGCACCCAGCGGGGAGGTTCTCAGGCTGAGCAGAGACTGGCTTTTATGAATCAGAAAGGGTCCCTCTCTTCCCCCTCAGATGCTCAGGGGACAGAGTGAAGAGAGGAGAAAAGCTCCAGTCTTTTTAGGTGACATGTGCCAGACATGCCTATGCAAGGGGGGATGGAGGCTCCAACAAGGCCCACCTGCCCCTGGCCAGCCCGGGGCAAGGGAAGGACACTCTCCCAGGAGATGCAGAGCGCACCTGCATTAGGAGTGTGGCTGGAAGGCCCACAGGGCAGGGCCTGCACTAGCTTGGTCCAACACCAAAGCCTTGCCATCCCCACGGCGCCCACACAAAGTGGTTGATGTGTGAGCAAAAGGCAGAGCCCATATAAGGAACACGAGGAGCCAAGAAATATCTTCCACGACTTAAGACAAGTAGATTAACCTCCCATCAAAAGGGGAGCAGGCTGGAACCAGTTTGGCTCAGTAAATAGAGTGTTGGCCTGCGGACTGAAAGGTCTCAGGTTCGATTCCGGTTGGGGGCATGTACCTTGGTTGTGAGCACATCTCCAGTAGGGTGTGCAGGAGGCAGCTGATCAATGTTTCTCTCTCATCAATGTTTCTGACTCTCTATCCCCTCTCTTCCTCTCTGTAAAAAATTAATAAGATTTTTTTTTTTTTTTTTTTTAAGAAAGGGGGGTAGCCGGGACCGGTTTGGCTCAGTGGATAGAGCGTTGGCCTGCGGACTGAAGGGTCCCGGGTTCGATTCCAGTCAGGGGCATGTACCTTGGTTGTGGGCACATTCCCAGTGGGGGGTGTGCAAGAGGCAGCTGGTCGGTGTTTCTCTCCTTATCGACGTTTCTAACTCTCTGTCCTTCTCAATTCCTCTCTGTGTAAAATCAATAAAATATATTTTAAAAAAGAAAAAAAAAAGAAAGAGGGGTAGCAAGCCGGGGCCCTGACCTAGGAGGGGGCCACTGCCACACAGGGAGGGGGGGGGATGCAGGGGGCAGCTGCCCTGTGAGAAGGACCTGCGAGGCTCCTCTGTGTGTGTGACCCAAGCAGAGCTTTGCATTTGGCTCTGGATGTCACTGTTAGTGGCCACGCTCCCTCTGGGTCCTGCTCACCACCAGGAACAGGTGGTAGGGGTGGGAGTGGAGTCAAACAATGCTCTTCCTCTTTCCCTGCCACCACGGAGTACACTGAGGCAGAGGCTTGGGTGCGTTCAAGATTCTGCTCTGCCCATAACCTACCGGCATGGCAGAGGCAGGCATGGCTGCTGGAGGGGTGATGGACATTAATACTGCTCTGCAAGAGGTACTAAAGACCGCCCTCATCCACCCACGAAGGCCTGGCACACATAGGGAACCAGGCACTCATTCTTTTAATGCTTATCAGCTGAGCCCGAGGACACTGGCAGAATCCTGTTATCTGTACTGATTTCTTATCTTTATCCATATGCTTGGAATGAGGAACAAATAGAACCTTGACTTACCCAGATCTTGATATGCTAAATCTTGTACCAAAAAAATGAGGAGCTTACCCAGATCTTGATGAATAGGATCTGGGCACACCCGAAACTCCTTTTAACCTTCAACTCCCCTTTGGAAGCCAATAAATATGCTGTGTTGTCTGTGGTGAGTGTGACTGTCTCTCAATTAGAGAGATGGCGCCCACCTAGCGCCCAGCTTTATGAATCTATTTCTGCCTCTTGTCTCTTTCTTTCTCTAATTTCTTCATCCCCAGCTCCTCCACTCAGGAACCTGTCATTTTTCCGTGCGGGACGCGGAAAAAGGAGAAACACCACACGCGCAGAATTCGCGGAGCTGACAGAGCCTTAGACAAGCGCCAGGCCCACCTTTGTGTACTTGCATCCAGCTGTGATGAGGCTGTTACATCACCAAATCACCCTAATTAAGATTGATGACAAGAAACTAGAGGAATGGTGGCCTCTGTAAAGTCGACAGAGAGGGAAACCCCATACAGCGGTTGGCTGCAGTTGTGTGGTGGTTAAGGACTACGGCAAAGAGTCTCAGGCACAGGATGTCATTGAGGAGTACTTCAAATGTAAGAAATGAACAAATAAAAACTTGGATTTTGTATATATATATATATATATATATATATATATATATATATATGCTCCTGCCTGGCCGGCATTACTAATGGTTGAGCATCAACCTATGAGCCAGGAGGTCCTGGTTCGAGTCCCAGTCAGGGCACATGCCTGGGTTGCAGGCTCGATCCCCAGGGTGCAGTTTGCAGGAGGCAGCTAATCAATGATTCTCTCTCATTAATGTTTCTCTCTGTTCCTCTCTGAAATAAATATTTTTTAACAAGTGCTTCTTTGTAGTATCTCACTCCTTGCTCTGTGGCCTGGGGCCAGCCCTTCCCTTTCTGAGCCAGCTTCTCCATCTGTGGACCTAGGGGCTGAGTGACCCCATGCCAGATGGCCCTGCTGGCTCCAGAGTGCTCATACCACGTGAGCTCCCTCAGCTTATAATGGCTTCCCCTTCCCAGCCCGGGTCCAGAGTCCTCCCCTGACACCCAAGGCCTCCGAGGGCTGCGTGCCGACCTCCCTGTCCTGGCTTCAGCCCTGCAGCTGCTGTCAGAAACCTGGTGTGTTAGCCAAATGGCCACACCGGTCTTTCCCAGGTACGCCCCATGAAGTGTCCCCAGCTCAGTGCCATTCCTAATCACCTAGAACCCAGCCTTACATGTGGGGCTCAGAGGCTAAGTCACACCTGAATTCTTTCCTGGTTCCTTGGTTCCCAGGGGCTTATAGGACACTCACCAGTGCCTTCCCCCACGCCCACAGTTCATGGGAACTGAAAGGCAGAAACAAGACGTTCATCAAAACAAAATCACTGCCAAGCACTGAGGGTAGAGCCATTCCAAACCAGGCCTCCTGGCACCACACCCCCATGAACTAGCACAGAGAGCCTGCCGTGGGCTGGAGACGGGACCGGACACGGCGGGCAGACTCACTCCAGGCCCTTCCCGAGAGGTAATGGTGAGCAGGGCCATCGTACCTTGACCGTGTCCAGAGGGTAGCCCACAATGACACTGGCTGCACCTGTGGATTGAAGAAGAAGACCTGGTCACTCAGCCCTGCACTTGCACTTGCTGGCTCTTGGGATAGGACAGCGGGCTCGGGCACTTACATTCACTTATCCTGTCAATGCCCACTCACCAGAGAGGCCTCGCCATGTGCTAGGCACTGGCCAACGCATGGAGGAAGGCAGAGAAAAAGTGGAGTAAAACCCGGTTCTGCCCTAAGAAACAAGAGCACTCTCCCCATCCCCGACAAAGGGCAGTGAAGGTGTTGGGATAATTGGGTATTTACATGCAAAAGAATGAAGTTAGACACACTATAATACTATACCATATTTAAAAAATTAACTCAAAATAAAACAAAGACCTAAATGGAAACTTTGAAACTATAAAAGCCACATATTAAACACAGGGAAAAATCTTCATGATCTTAGATATGACACCAAAGGCACAAGTAACAAATGAAAAAAAATAAATTGAACATCATGAAAACTTTAAACTTTTGTACATCAAAAGATACTATTGAGAAAATTACATCAGCCCTAACAGGTTTGGCTCAGTGGATAGAGCGTCAGCCTTCGGACTGAAGGGTCCCAGGTTCGATTCCGGTCAAGGGTATGTACCTTGGTTGCGAGCACATCTCCAGTAGGGCATGTGCAGGAGGCAGCTGATTGATGTTTCTCTCTCATCGATGTTTCTAACTCTCTATCCCTCTCCCTTCCTCTCTGTAAAAATCAATATATATATATATATATTTAAAGAAAATGACATCAACCTACAGAATGTGGGGAAATATTTACAAATCATATGTTTCATAAGAAACTATAGCCAGAATATGTAAAGAACTCTTACACCTTAAATGGGCAAAGGACTTGAAGAAACATTTCTCCAAAGAAGAGATGCAAATGGCCAACAAGCACAAGACAAGATGGTCCACAGCCTTAGTCATTAGGGAAATGCAAATCAGAACCACAGCGAGACCCCCCTCCACACCCACGAGGATAGCTACCATTTAAACCAAAGAGGAGGGCTGAAACCAGTTTAGCTCAGTGGTAGAGCATCGGTCTGCAGACTGAAAGGTCCTGGGTTCAATTCCGGTCAAGGGCATGTACCTTGGTTGTGGGCACATCCTCAAAAGGGGGTGTGCAAGAGGCAGCTGATCAATGATTCTCTCTCATCGATGTTTCTCTCTATTCTTCTCTCTTCCTCTCTGTAAAAAATCAATAAAAAGAAATTAAACCAAAGAGGAGGGAAATAAGTGTCATTGAGTATATGGAGACATTAGGACCCTCACACATTGCCGGTGGAAATATAAAATGGGTCATGCCTAGCCTGCGTGGCTCAGTGGTTGAGGTCATGGGCTCGATCCTCAGTGGGGACACGCAGGAGGTAGCTAATCAATAGGTGGTTCTCTCTTTTTATTGATGTATTTATCTCTCTCTCCCTCTCCCTTCCTCTCTGAAATCAATAAAAATATATTTTAAAAAAAATAAAGCTTAAGTAAAAATAAAAAAGAAATATAAAATGGTGCAGCCACTGTGGGAGTTTGGCAGTTCCTCAAAAAGTCTTGAATTACCAGATGACCCAGCAATTCCACACCTAGGTAAATATCCAAAAGAAATGAAAACAGGCACTCAAACAAGTACATGTGCGCACATGCTCATGGCAGCACTATCCACAATGGCCAGCAGGTGGAAACAGCCCACCTGCCCATCACTGGATGAATGGATAAACAAATGTGGTCCAGCCATACAATGGAGTGTTGTTAGCTATAACTGGGAATAAAGAGCTGATACAGGTCACAGTGTGGATGAATATTGAAAACATGAAAATGAAAGAAGTCTGAATGATTCCATTTATAAAAATTATCCAGAACAGGTAAGTCCATAGAGACAGAAAGCAGATTGGCAATTGCCAGGGCTTGGGGGAGGGGAACTGGGACTTCTTTGGGCATGAGGAAATGCTCTGGAACTAGACAGAGGGGCTGGTTTCACGGCACTGTGAATGTACTAGATGCCACTGAATCGCACACTGTAAAATGGCTAATTTCATGTTATATAAATTCATCTTCAAAAAGGGGGAGGATGTGAAGAGAAAATCCAGAGACTTTTCAGTTACCAGCAGGTTACTTAAGATGTGTAGGTGAGAATAATATCAGCACCTACTTCACAGTCCCACTGTAAGAGCAAAACGAGGTTATGAATGTAAACACCTGTAGAGAGCCTAGCACTTCCAGGACATTTAAAAAGAGATGCTGCTGCTCTTGATTTTACTTATTTTTATTTTTAGAGAAGGCCTCTTTGAAAAGGTGATTGAAATATAGTGGCAACCATACTTTGGTAAAAACTGCTGTTTGAATTTTAACCCTGGTAAGTCTGGCTCCTTCCTGATTAAACACGGAATACTTACCTCAGCTTCCAGGTGGAGGCCTGGAGGCTAAGGCAATTTTCCCTTGCCTGGGACCAGGACCACAGGAGATTGATTTCCACTGACTCAGTAGCTTCAGGGATAGAAACTGTAGATAGCCGAAACCGGTTTGGCTCAGTGGTAGAGCGTCGGTCTGTAGACTGAAAGGTCCCAGGTTCGATTCTGGTCAGGGGCATGTACGTTGGTTGTGGGCACATCCCCGGTAGGGGGTGTGCAAGACGCAGCTGGTCGATGTTTCTCTCTCATCGATGTTTCTATTATATCTCTCTATCTCTCTCCCTTCCTCTCTGTAAAAAATCAATAAAATATATTAAAAAAAAAGAAAAGAAAAAGAAACTGTAAATAATCTTTAGAGACTAACCGCTGAGCTCTGCTTCTGTGTTATCGCTATCGCAAGATAGGACCATATTCCAACGTCCAGCAGGACGTGACTGGGAATCAACCCTGTGAGCTGTCCCCAGTCTTTAGAATTTAGTCTTTAGGATTTAGGAACAAAAGGAAAATTTTTGCGGTTTAAACCTTTAAAAGGAATTGCCTACCCCTGAAACGGTGCAGTCTTGTGGAGACCACCTGCGTGTGGTGCTCTCGCGGCCGTCCTGGCCAGTTCAATAAATCCTTGCCTGCTTTTTTTAAAATTAATTAATCAGCCTCTGGTGGTCTTATTTTGAACCCAGGGTTTGACCCCATAACAGTGATGGATACTCTGGGTCTTTTCGCAGGGAAATGCCTACCCCCACATATTCACAAGTCTGGAATCATTTTGGAGGAAAGGTTACCCTGAGGTCATGTAGGTTAAGAAGCCCTTATTGGAGAAGTCAGTGAAGATGAGATTCAAACAGGAGCCATTTTTCTAAGACAAACTCTCTATCACAATGATGAGGAAGAAAGTGTCTCTGTTAGCAAGTGTCTCTGCTCACCAGCTAAGGTAGGTAAAGGGGTAATGAAATATGAGATATTTACAGGGAAAGAAACCAGCTCTTGGTTTAGAACCTCCTGACCCCTCAGCCTCTGCTTCCCACAGAACTGGGCAGAAGCAGAAAGGTGATGGCAGCTGGGAGCTGGAATATTCACTCCACATGAACCCTTCCCAGCAGGGAAGGGCTGAGTCTGGTCCTTGGGCTCCAGCTGCTCCCTATCCCAGCTACCATTTCAACCAAAGCGTTTAGATCACATGTGTCAAACACCAGGCCCGCGGGCCAAATCCGTCCCGCCAGGCCTTGCAATGTGGTCCGCACCGCGCTGTCATCACTGCACTCCGCTGCGTTTCCTTCACAATGACAGTTTATGACTATTCAGTAAACCATTCGACCCTCGATTTAGGCTGGATTTTAGATTTTGGCCCCTTCTCTGATTCAGTTCGACACCCCTAGTTTAGATAATGCTCAGGGCCACACCCCAGACCCAGCCTTGGGCCAGCATCTCCCTGTTGATTTAGCCTGCCACCTGAAAGCAGGGATCCAATATAAGAAGTCAGACTATCAGGCTGTGGGACTTCACAGTAAAATTTCAAACAAAATGTGAAGGATGTAATGTTGAAATTTTATCATGTGAGGTCACTAAGAAAGAAAACAGCACGGACAAGCACAGGGGTTGAGATGGCCCTGGCGCAGGCTGCCTGGCTTATTCCAGTGCTCACACACACGTCGGCCTTGGGCAAGCCACTGAATTTCTCTGTGTGTCCTCATCTGTAAAATGGGGATGGAATTACCGTAGCTACCGCATCTATAATAATAAAAGGGTAATATGCTAATTAGGCCAAACATCTTCCCATGTCATTCCAGACATCCTTCCTGATGAAGCCGGGTCCAGGTGCCAGAGGAAAGCCAGTGCCAGCAGCCGGGGAAGGAAAGCCTACTCTTGCATGAACTTTTGTGCATCAGGCCTCTAGTTGGAATTGGAGTTATAAAGAAATATACATCAACAGACATATAAGAGACCACATATTTTTTGTTCCATTAATATAAAGTGTCCAGAAAAGACTAATTTATAGAGCTAGAAAGTAGATTTGTGGTTTCCCAGAGGGTAAAGGAGGGGATGGAGTTTAACTGTAAATGGGCATAGGGATCTCACACGGGATGAAAATGTTCCCAAACTAATTTATGGTAATGGGCTTACAACTTGGTGAAGTTATTAATCACTGAATTGTACACTTGAAATGGGTGAACTTTATAATATGTAAAATAACCTTAAAGTTGTTTTTAAAATATACACAGAACATTTAGCATCTGGTACCTACTAAATATTCACTGTTACTACACTCACCATTTCATGGTAGAGAAAAAAAAAAAAAGAAGTTAACATCAACTGCCAGAAACAGACCATTGTCTCACTAATAGAAAAGCTGGTCAACCTTGAAGCTCTGAAAGATCAGAGCCAAACACTCCCTTATCTAATTGAGACAATGGTAACTGAGGCAACTTCCCCATCTTGTAATCATGTAAATCCTGATATGATAATCCGATTATTATCTGCCTAAGGGCTATGGGTGTCTCCCAAACCTGCTTAAGGGTAACGGGTGTATCCCATAGTCTCAATAAAAGGGATAGCAAGGCCAGAGCCTAGAGGCAGCCCTCCCACTAGAGGTGGGCTCTCACCTGGCCCCCCATATCGCCAAATTAAATTTCTTTTAGTCTCTCTTTAACTTGCGTGTGGCCCTTCTCCGGAACCCGAACCCTGAACCACGTGGAATGTGAAAGGGTTCCCATAATCAACAAAATACGGACATTTACAGAATAAAGGGCACTCCACTACTCGCTGTGTACCCTGGGGAGGGTCTCTGGGTCATTGGAGTCTGAGCTCCTCTGACAGCATTAGCCTCCAGGGGGTTCTACCCCAAACCACAGGCAGCACGCTGAAGGTGTCTGGCTACGAAGGAAGCAGAAGCATCGGAGGGAAAGCTTCCCCTTGGGATGGCTGAAGGCTTGTCCAGAGGGCCTCCAGGTGCAGCCCTGAGTGGGAAACTTAGGAGGGGCGGGTCTCAGCCAACCCGAGAGGCCTGGTCGGCTTAGGACTGCCCACCATGAAAGGAGCCACCTCAGCTCAAGCCGGGAGAAGCCAGTGCCCTGCAGCCATTTGTGGGGGCAGAGTAGATGCCTGCTAGGCGGGAGGGGGTGCCAGAAGGGCAAGGACCTGGGATGCTACCTGGCCTGTCGCGTGGTCACCCCCCCCACCCCCTTTCAAATCTCCTAGTCTCTTCCATCCCTAGAATGCTTGGTGGCCCCCACACACAACATAGACCCTGCCTCCGCACCTCAATATTTTATTTTATCTTTGGGGAGGGGCTGCATTTGCCACATCCCTTTGCAGATGGTCCTCTTAGATGAGACTACAAGGAAGATATTTTGCAGTAAGTCCCTCAACCACCCCCCTTCTCTCCCCCCCACCCCCATCCCAATTCCCACTTACATCTGAGAAATGGGGGGATAGACCTATTGGGAAGAGAAGAATGGAGAAGGAAATGGATGAACCTCCTGAGCAAGCAAACCCATCTCAGGCCCAGCAGAGAGCGGCTCCTGCAGCGGTACTGGTACCAAGGACCATAGAGCCAGGAGGGGGGCTCTGACAGCTGACAGCGGCTGAAGCGGGGAAGGGTTCCTACTATCGTATCTGCTCCCTCCAGCAGGGGCACCCCCTGGGACCCGTCTGATCCCGCCCAGGGGCTTCCCCTTCTGCGCAAGGGCCAGAGGCCAAGCGCCACCCTCACCCACAAGCTCCTGCGAGCCACGTCCCCAAATTCAGGTGCGCGCCGGGCCACCAAAGGGTGTGCGCGCGCCGAGACGCTCCATTGGCTGCCGGCTTAATCATTACCAGACCGAGCTCCCGGACCCTAACTTGGAGGCAACTCGGGAGCTCAGGTGAACCTCGGTGAGGCTCGCGGAGTTCCGGCGGGCCGCCCTGTGGGGAACTGAAGATCCCGAGGGCGGGCAGCTGGCGCTCCCCTTGGCAGGTGGCGCGCAGAGAGTACCCCGTGCGTCCCGGGGTGTAAACTCGGCTCACGCGGCGCCCGGCTCCCCTTTCTGTCTCTCGGACCCGGGGGTCTCCCGAAAGCACACACACCTCTTGCGGGGTGTCCCTCCCATCGGACTCACCTCCGATCCAGCCCGCCGCGAAGTCTTCCAGCTGGAAGCTGCCCATGGCCGGGGCCGCGGCAATGCGCCCGCCGGGCCGGGCCGGTGCCCATTCAATGTGTGAGGGGCGTGGCCCCGGGAGGGGCGCCCGGAGGAGGACAGCGGAGCTCCCCGCGGCCGGCGACGCCCAGCCCGGCCTCCAGTCCCGCCGACAGCACGCCCCCAGCGGACCTTAAAGGCGCAGCAGGCCGGCGGGCCCCCGGGGAACCCCGAGGAGATGACAAGGCCAGGGAGATTCCTGAGCCCCACCTTCTCCCTTGCCAACTGCAGAATCTTGGCGCCTTGAGGCAAAGGTGTCTGCCGGCGCCTGTTACTGTTCACATCGCGTCCAACACTGGAAGGAATTAAAGGACATTTTTGCAAAGTTCATTACAAGAGGGAGGAAAGGATGCTTTAAAGGTTGGGAAGACTCATCCTCTTTTAAGCTAAAACAGCACTGAAATAATTCTAAGTGTCCAACTAAACTGGACTTCTTAAGTTGGTTGAAAGCCAGGGGCAGTTTCGCTATAAAAAAACAAACAAACAAAAAAAACCAACAACAACAACACACAAAACAAAACACAGGACACGCAATTTTCCATGTCATTTTAGAGGTTAGGGACTCTACCCCAGGCTGCTTACCACATCTTCCCATAGCTTCCAGGTTTCAGAACCCTATCTATTCATGAAACACTGGAATAACGTGTGGAAAGCACCCAGTCCCGGGCAGGCTCCAAGTCAGCTCTAAATAAATATTGTGATGAATGGCCAACAGTTCCTGTGCACTTAGACCATGCCCTCTCACTGCCTGGCCTGCTCCTCACAGCGGCCCGTGAGGTGGTGCCATCCTGGTCCCCATTCCGAGGTAGGAAAATGCCTGGTGTTTACTGTACATAATGTGTGTGTGATATATAGATATGAATCTTTCAGAAAACTGGCCCAAATTAGATGAAAGTTGTCACACGTGAGTTGTAGGCTTAGCTCCTTCCTGAAGACCTGGCTGTCCCACACTCAGACAGAAGGCCCTGCCGAAGGCGCACAGCGCCTGCTGAGAGCACGCAGGCCAGGTGGGAATTTCCAGAACCCTGAAAACTCTCAGCCCATCCCTGGCCACGCCTTAAGGAGGGGTGAGGCTAGGCTGGAAATTTCCTTTGACAGCTGCCTGGCTGTGGGTTTGGGTGGACAGATAGCACACACTGTGCCTGGCAGGTCCCAGAATCCACAGGGCCCGCCCATCTCCACCTCTCTGGGCCAACCCCCTACCTGGTACAGACAAGCAGGCCCCAAACCATTCTGCCACCTTGTCTGAAACACTTCCTACCAACCTCCCCACCCCCCCCCACCCCACCCCGCCTCCCCAACTCACGCACACAACCCTGCCCCTCTACCTGCCTGCTCCAGACAAGCAATGGAGCGGCCTTGCCAAGGATATCCTCAAACCCAAGTCTGTGCTGAGGGCTTTATGCACAGCCCCACTCCCTCCTCACAGCAGCTGTGAGCAAGCACCAAGATCACCCCACTGATGGTCAGATTTTTGTTTGTTTGTTTGTTTTTAAATATATTTTATTGATTTTGTACAGAGAGGAAGGGAGAGAGATAGTTAGAAACATCGATGAGAGTCATCGATCAGCTGCCTCTTGCACATGCCCTACTGGGGATATGCCCGCAACCAAGGTACATGCCCTTGACGGGAATCGAACCCGGGACCCTTCAGTCCCCAAGCCGACGCTCTATCCATTGAGCCAAACCGGTTTTGGCTGATGGTCAGTTTTGTGTGCCAACTTGGCTGGGTGACAGTCCCGGTGATTCAAGCAAACACTAATATAGGTGTTACTGGGAAGGTATCTTGTAGATGTGGTTTAATCTACAACCAGTTGAATTTAAGGAAGGAGCTTATCCTTGATTATCTTGGGCTTCATCTAATCAGTCAAAAGGCCTCCAGAGCAAAGGAGATTACCCCGAGGAAGAAGACACTCTGTGGAATGCAGTGACTCACCCAGCCAGTGCCCACAATACCTATCTACACACACGCCCTGGAGATATTGCAGGTCCGGTTCCAGGCCGCAGCAATAAAGTGAGTCAACCTTTTTGCTGGTGGAAGGGGTTGCCTTCAGTTCGTAAAAAACACAACACCTTGAAGTGCAATAAAATGAGATATGCTTGTGTCTTCTACGGTCCTGCTTCTCTGGTAGAACCCTGCCTGTGTTCACTTGTGAACCAGAGATGAGACCCAAGGCTCAGTGAGGCTGTGAGACCCTATCAGCCAGGGCTATCAGTCCCACAGCTTTGAGATGAGTAATTCTACAGACAACCTAGGGCTTGCTTTTGTTCCCTTTGACCTGCCCCCAACACCTCTCATCCTCCCCCCACTTTCCCATCCAGCTCCCCCTCCTGAAATGGCACTCACATTCCCCTGGGCCTGTGCTGACGGCACTGATCCCAGTCAGCTGTGGGCCCTCTTCCCCGTCCCAACTGTGGGCAGTGATGCTTATTGCTTTTGTTCCCTGCAGAAGGGACACAGCCCCCTGCTGACAGCACCCTGGCCAAGTGGAAATGTAAGAGCATGGAAGTACCGGGAGGTCCAGGGGTCATGCCCAACTTTCAGGTAAGTTCTCCAGGGGCCCAGCTCCCTCCAGGCCCAGGCTCGGCCTACATCGTCCACCCTGGGCCACCCTGGAAGAGGGGTGGTCCTCTCTCCCTCAAACTCTCTCTGTAGACACAGGGGCTGCTCTCAGCGAGGCCCTGGCTGGAGGTCCCTACTCGCTGTGGGTAAATAGCCTGGTGGCCTAGCCAGAGGAAGGTGCTTTGGCCCAATGGGAGCTCCCTGCATTCCCTCTGTCTGTGAAGCTCCTGATTACACCTTCAATTTTGATTGATAGCCTTGCTGGGTACAGTATTCTTGGATTCAGACCCTTCCTTTGCATGACTTTGTATATTTCATCCCATTCCCTTCTGGCCTGATGAGTTTCTGTTGAGAAATCAGTTGCTAGACTGGTGGGGTTTCCTTTATATGTAACCTTCTGTCTCTCTCTGGCTGCTTTTAAGATTCTTACTTTGTCATTGGTGTTTGCCAATTTAATTATAATATGCCTTGGCATTGGTCTTCTGGGATTCATTTTGCTTGGGACTCTGCAAGCATCTTGGATTTGTGTGGGTTTTTTCTTCTCTATCTCAGGAAAGTTTTCTGTCATTATTTCTTGAAATACTTTTTCCATGTGTTCCTCGGTTTCCTTTCCTTCTGGAACCCCTATTATTCTAATATTTTTTGTTTTGTACTGTCCCAAAGTTCCCTTAGGCTCTCCTCCTGCTTTTTAATTTTTTTTTTCCCCAGAAGCTGCTCTAATTGGGTATTTTTTTTCCATCTTGTCTTCTAGCTCACTGATGCGGTCCTCTGCTTCTTCTAGTCTACTCTTATTTTTTCTTTCTTTTTTTCAAATATATTTTATTGATTTTTTACAGAGAAGAAAAGAGAGATAGCTAGAAACATCGATGAGAGAGAGACATTGATCAGCTGCCTCTTGCACACCCCATACTGGAAATATGCCCACAACCAAGGTACATGCCCTTGACCGGAATCAAACCTGGGACCTTTCAGTCCACAGGCCGACACTCTATCCACTGAGCCAAACCAGTTCGGCTACTCTTGATGCTTTCTATTGAGTTCTTCATAGTAGCGATGTCATTTTTCATTTCTTCTTGGTTCATCTTCATTTCCTCTTGGTTCTTCTTCAATTCCACTTGGTTCTTCTTCATTTCCTCTTGTTTCTTATTCATATCGTCAAATTTCTCTTCCATTCTTTTTAGCCATCCTATGATCATTACTCTGAATTCTTGATCTGGTAGGTTGCTTGCCTTTAACTTGTTTACTTCCTTTTCTGGTGATGCCTGCTTTTCTTTCATGTGCGGGCTATTTCTTTGTCTCCCCATGGTCTCTCTTTTCAGGATATCTGGTTATGTGGTATTCCTTCTCCTTTCCCTGGGTGATAGAAGAACTCCCTTGAATTCACGTGTTTGCGCCGATTGGGGCATCACAGCTGCTTGATGGTCTCCTCTGCTGTGGGTTTTCCAGGCCTCAGAGAAGATCCTCCTTTCCTGGTAAGATGGCACAGCCTTCCCTCTGAGCCCGTAGCTCCGGGAGAGGTCTCCACCGCCGCAGTGCTGGCTGCTTGGTCAGAAAATCCTGTCCAGCGGACCCTTCCTTATCTTCCTTTAGAGTTCTGCTACCCCTCAGCTGCCAATCGCTATTCCCTGAGTGACTCAGACGCTGCTTCTATCTGTTCTGGGACCAGGGTCAGAACAAGTCCGTCTGTTCAGCCGCCATCTTGTAGAGACCTGATGATACACCCTGCATTCCCTCTGAGGAGCATGACTTGATGTACTCCACTGTCCTGCTAGTCTCCAGCAGGGATCCACCTTGGCACCCAGAGTTGTAGAGAATGGTGAGGGGTATGGTCTGGAGGAAGGGGCCTGTGCCGGGCCTGCTCTTTTCCCGCTGGCACATCCATGACACATCTTCCAGGCTGTCACGCGGAAAACAGAATGCAACCACTGAGGCTCCTCCTAAAAGGTGGAAAGGCCTGATGGGGAAGTGATGGGACAGGGGGTCATCACCGACGCCCAGACTCTGCCCTGCCATGCTGGGGTACGTGCTGAGACAGTTATAAGAAATGAAGGGTTTCCAAAGACTGGCCCTTTTGTCATTGACAGTTGGAAAGAGTCTGTAGGTGGGAAGTCCGCCAGTTCTCCAAGTTCTCCTCTTTTGGCGGGCCCCCTGATGGGGGCCAGACAGATTGTCATTCCCTGAGTCCCGCGTCAGTGAGGGACCAATCGGGAAGGTCCTGAGCTGTCAGTCAGTGGCCTGGCAACCCCGGGATGGAATCCTGAGCCCAGAAAGCTGCTGCTTGTCCTGCTAATGAGCTGGAGCTGAGAGGGGGATGGCTCCTTTCCAGAGGGAACCATGTGCTCCATTCCTAATGGAGAGGCACATCACCGAGGGAGGCTGCGACTCTCTCCTCTTGCTTTCTCAGGCCACCTTCTACCTCCTTCAGGCCTTGCAAAGAGGCCTCTCCAGACCTGTCAGCCTTGCACTGACCTCAGACAATGGGGGCTCTGAGGCCCCTT